AATTGAGAAAAGAATTGACATTGACAATAAATTTGACTAATTTAAAAAGGATAAAAGTATAACTTTACATTTTTCAATAAAAATACAATTATAATATAATATATTGATAATTAAATTAAAACAAAAAACCAAAAATCACTCCATCCTGTGATGCTTGGACTCTTTGAAATCCGACACGGGTATGTGTATGAAATATGTGTCGGATCCTCCAAGTTTCAACAGGAAGCTTTGCTGTTTCTGCTTCTTCTTTCTTTTTTATTTTCCTTTTCTTTCCGAGAGGGTAGAGAAAGGCTACGGCGCTAGGTTTTCCCTTCTTATTCTTTCTTTTTTCTTGCCTTTTTTTTCCTTATTTCCCTATCTGTATCAGTGGTTTAGGATTTTGTTTGTATAAAATGAAAATGGGTTACATATAGTACTACTTAATGTTTCATTAAATTCAAATTGCAATCAAGTCCCTCATTTTTTATTTTGCATAACATCTTAATAATTAACTTCTCATAATTGAAAACTAAACCTCAAAATTTTATTTTATTCGTCTTAACCTCTATTCAATACTCATTTCCTTCTTTGTGAACAATTAATTTTTGTCTATTCAAAATGACATCTTGGGTTAGTTAAAAAATTGAAGCTTGAAAGACGTATTCAAATACCTGTATCTGAAATTTAGACTCTTTTTAACCATGTCTTCATATTCTATATTTTAGAAAATAAAATATCCGACACTTAAATACGTACCCGTACCCCCATACCCAAGTCCAAGCATCATAGACTCCACCCATCCCCTTCTTCTCCACCATTATCCCAAAACCATTAACAGTTGTGCTGTGCCACCACTACCTATCCCAAGTCGGTACCACGGCTCCTTCCAACACCACGCCCCACTGCCAAAATTTACCACTTGACTGTAACAAATGCTTTGTGGGAAACAAGGTCAAAAATACCAAAATCGCCAACAACCCAATCGACCTGAGCAATCACCTCCACAATATTCAATCCCGCCCCATTTTCAATCGATTCAAGTGACATTGTGCAGATCCAGAAATGACAATAATTTGATGCAACCCACAACTATTTTCATCACAATTGTTAACATGCAGCATGGTCCAATCAATTCTCATTTCTTGCTCCTTTTTCCCTTTTCTCATTGATTTATTCTAGGGAGTTCTACCTATTGTTCAGGAGATTTAACCTTGTTCATCTATGCAGAAGATTCATAGGTTTTAATGCTATTCTAGTCCACCCAATCACAAAAACAGAGAAACCCAAACGCCCCATTTATTGAACGTTGCTGTCAATGGCGATTTTGGTAGCAATGATGCTTGGTGGGTGGGGTTTTGGTAGGTTTCAATGATTTTGGTGGTGGGTGAGAAAATCTCAACATTTTTCGGAGGTAGGGAGTGGGGTGGAAGGAGCCGTGGCACCAACGTATGATGGGTGGCGATGGCTTCGATGCCAGCGCTGCTATTAGTAGTTTTGGGATAAGTGTGGGGAAGAAGGGGATGGGTGGGGGTGGGGTATTTTTGGGTTTGATTTTTTTTTATTTAATTATCAATATATTATATTATAATTGTGTTTTTTTTATTGAAAAATGTAAAGTTACAATTTTATCCTTTTTAAATTAGTCAAAATTATGGTCAGTGTCAATTCTTTAGTCAAAAAGACGGTAAAACTAACGATTTCCATCAATTTGGACTTCAAGTGCGAATTTCTAAAAGGTTTGCTACCATGGGCACCACAAAGTAAAGGTTTAGGTCAAGTCAACATAAAAGTGAAAGGTTTGGTACCATAGCAGCAATTTTCCCTAAATTTTAATGTACCTAAAAACTGAAATTGCCACATACCAGCAAGGAATTGGCAGCCAAAACAATTGTCAAATGGAAAATTAGACGCTCAAAATAATAAAGATCAAGCATTATAGAAACATTACCACCATTGGATTCCAAGGGCCAGATGTGCTTTGCAAGGGCCTTGTTCATTTGGAACATATTTATGGTATCTACACCAAAAAGGTCATGCAGTTTATCATCGCATAATATATTCCGCCTATTGGAAGGATCCTGCAAATTATTTTCTCTAATATAGCTCCACAGTTGCTTCACTACCTATTTTGAGATAATGTACAATTTGATTATACCTGCAATGTACTCAAAATGTATCATTCAACAAGAAGATAAACAACTTCTTGTAAAAGCTACAATACCTCAGTTCTAGCCAATTCTTGTACCCCTGTAAATTTCTGAAGATGAGGAGAAAGGCTGCATAGTTTTGTAAAGCCACCGCCGCCACCCCTTCTCTTGACCTCTTTCTTCTTCATTTTTGATCTAATAAGATACAATACATCTGTAATGTTTAATATGCAAAACAAAACAGAGAACAAACAAGACCCCATCTTTTATAAGCTGAAGAGTAATATGTCAAGTGAGATTTGTTGCCCTTGTTTGACATATATTATGAACAAAGAGAAGGGCTGGAGAAAAAAAAGGAAAACAGAAATGACAGAAACCTATACTCTGAGCAACTCCAATGAGGGATGCATAATAATACTAAACACAATTAGCCAATTAGGTATACGGTATGTGAGTTTTCCGATCTTTAACTAATGTATCTTGCTACATGTGTATCAAGATTTATATAATGGATTGCATAATACCACGTGGCACTCTACCATTTGCCAATTTAAAACATAATCAACTTTTTTATCCAATATTTTCCCTCCATGTTATATTATGTAATCCATTATTTATATTTTTTATGTACAAGTAGCAAAATCCTTAACTAATTGTCTGAGGTATCATTGTGACTATCATGCAAGTGGAGTTCAAAATCAACTCAAGTTTCATAATGATTTTCTGCAGAGATTCGTACCTCGCAAAATGGAATTCATAATCAGTTCAAGTTTCAATTATAGCTTAATTGCAGTTGATATCAAATATAGTTTGAAAGCTAAAATTCCCAGCATCGAAATCAACAAAATTTCACTCAGAATGCATAAAACTTGGCGTAACCCTTTCTCCAAACCATATTCGAAAAAATCATAGGTCAAAAATCTAGCAGAACCATTACTCTGTCTCATTAAATATCCAACAATTTAATAGATTTCAACTGTTTCATGCAAGAATTCATAAAGTATCCAGAAAGTTAAATAAGTTATCCTCCAAAATTATAAATAAAAAAATTCCCAAACTTTCAAGCCAGAATTCAAAAATTTTCCACTAAATCAAATAAAAGACAATCAAAAACTTCTAAAAAAATTAGTTCCCAATTTTCTTGCGTGTAATCCAAATGTACAACGAAATAGTGCACAAACGCTCAAAAATTTATACGTATAAACAAAAATTGACCCTTTTTTAGAGGCGGTTTTTCCTGTTGTCGATTCTTCTTCTTCTTCTTCCTCTTCCTCCTCCACCTCTTCTTCTTCCTCCGCTGCATCTCCGTCTCCACCATCACTGTCTTCTTTACTATTTTCTTCATTTTCTACTGCGTTTTCAACCTGGCTCTGAACGTATAAATCCACCTGCTCTCTAATGAAAGCCTTTCTGTCGGACAAATCGAGGCCGAAATCATCCTCGAGTCGCCGCCGCACAATGGCGGTGGTCGTTGTATTCAGGTCAGACGCGCTAAGGAACTCGTGCAGGCGCGTGATTAGGTCCGAGTCAGATACCATTTTCCTGCGGTTCCCTGCAGTTAGCAGTTATTTTTTGTGTAATGTTTAGGTCTGAAATATGCAAATTGAGCTGCCGATTTGGTGGTTGGCATTTTTGGGTTTGTCCATTTGCGAAGGAAAAGGGTATTTTCGGAAATTGAGTGGATTGTTGAAGTTAATTATAGGATAATTATATTCACACAATAATTTTTTTTTCTTTTACTACATTTTAATTATATTTTAAATTCTTAATTTTTATTTATTACAGCGCTTATATCTTTTTAATTTTTTCAAGTTATTCTTATCATCAATTTTTTTCATTAATTTAAGATATTTTGTATTTAATAATAATTTTATGATTAAAAATCCATTGAAATGGCATAAAACAACTTATTTTTTCCTCATATTTAAAAAATATTTTCCCCCTATTTCTAAGCATGAAAATTAAATATTTTGATATAAATATTAAATCATCATTAAGGACGAGACGTATTGATGAATAAAAGGTTGAAAATAAAAATTCAACTGAAAAGTTATGGATATGAGCAAAAATTAAAGAGCTTCACTTTAATTAAAATGTGGTATATGAAATAAAAATTGTGGTGGCAATATAGCCACCCTTAATTATAAGCTAAACATATTGGCAACACATTATTTAGCCCTTGTATGGTATTCATTATTTTCAAAATATATTTTTATCTTTCTTATTTTCAATCACACATTATTTAATAAAATAATATCACGAGTTAATTCAAATTTTTTTTAAATTTTTTAATCACATTCTCCAAGAAAATATTATTCCAAATGCATTTTGGGCTAAAAATGAAACTCGAATAGGCGATAAATAAATAAATTATATTTTATAACATTTACATATTATCATATTTATGTCTTAATTTTTTTTATTCTCAAATTAACATAAACTAATCTTGATTATAGGTTCTCTTCAAAATTTTCTTTAAGATAAGAGTAAAAAGACTCATTTATTCATGGTATAGTTAAATAAACAAAATAAATAATAATATAAAATGCGATTAAATATTTAACCTTCATTTTAAAGTAGATTTACAATATTTTTGGATGAAAATCATAATTAAGGACAAGATTTTCTAATCAATGAAATATTAAAAATAAGAATGCCATAGAGGAAAAATTAAAGATACAAGTGTTATAATGAATAAAGTTTAGTGACATTTATAGTTCGTTTAATTGCGAGCATGCAATTTACATAAAAAGAAAATAAATTATAAGTAATTCAATTGCCTAGAACTTATTTGTATGGAAATGATTTATTAACTATATTTGATCGATTTAATTTTTAATCTAAAAAAATATTATATTTATCTATTTTTTATTGGTGTGTAGATCACAGAGAATAGATAGATAAGAGATAGAAAGAGAGAGTGAATTACTTGAAAAATAAAAGTCACCCCTCACTGAAGAAAATATTTTTATTGTTTTTGAAAAAAATATGGTTACATGACCAAAAGTTGAAAAATATTTTTTATAAAAAAATTGTCAATCAAGCAGATCAAAAGTAGGAATTTAGGTAAAAATGACATTTTCCATGAAAAATAAAATCAATCAAACACACTCTTGATGTAATAAAAATATGATGTATTTAAAAAGAAAATACATGATGTGAATATGGTCATTCTTTTTTTATTGAGACATGCCCCCCTCTTGTGAAGGGCCTGGACACCTCATTCATTGTACGAATAGAAAAATTATTTTTTATTTGTTTCATCACATTTTAATTGTGCTCAAGGTTTTCAATCTTTTTTCATTACGATAATTATGTCCTCAAACTTTTTTACAACATTCTTATCTTGAACATTCCTTGAATTAGCACATTCACTTTAATAGCGATTTTTTTCCCAAAAAAAATTCATTGAGAAAACATAAAATGACTTATTTATCCATCATATTTTTAAAAAAGAATAAATTAAAA